ATGCTTAGGATATCATGCAGGACTTTTCCCCAGTTTGGAAGTAGATAGAAAGAGCAACTTTCAAGGAAGCATGATTGCAATATAATCCAATATAATCAGCTTTAAATTACATGGATTTTCTTGTTCTAGCTTGTTCAGGTGGTATTCAGGGAGCTGTGTTTTCCTTTTTACCCCAGTGATAAGATTTACAATGGCTTCACATCCTGGCATGTAGACTGCATGCAATTTTATTTGCATACCACATAGAGGAAGAGAGAAATATGAACATCACTTTGGGCATTTTAGTAATACACCTCCAAGGAAGGAAACAGCCACACAATTCATTTTCTTTGACAAAACTTTAATTAGAAAACCAGACTCCTCTGATTATAAAAAGTACACAAGCTGATAAATCTTGGCAAGTTATAGAGAGAATAATTTTATGAACATTTTATACCTAATAAAAAAGGTGAAAATAATTAACAGCATTCATCAGATTAATTTTTTTCACATGGTTTTCTAATATAAAAAGCATATAGTCATCAAACTTTATATAAATCCGTATATGTTTATAATAGCTTTTCATAATGGAAAGGGACAATATTTGTGTTTAAATAATGGTATTAATAGTCGATGATGACTCCAAACTGCCACAAGCTGAAGCATGACAAAATATAAAATCCAGATTGCTTAGAGAATCTTTGAATCTTCTGGATCCATCCCAAACGATCTTTTGGAGAAAAACTAGACACAAGAATTCTTATTAGTATTGCCCCACCTGAAAAATGTTACTTGTAATCAGTTTGCTTTTACATGTTTTAAGAATAACTCATTTTTCTTTTCTTTCAATGGTTTTGTACCACAGCCGTGCTAACTAGGTGCTGGTATATTGTGCAACCCATGGGAAATGGTGTTGGATCAGCAGAAAACTGGAAATCTTATTTTATTTTCTCCCCAGACTGTCAGGAACCCATGCACACTGGCCATATATATGTCTTGTGAATATAGCTTTTCATCTGTTGGCTAGCTTCTGCCTGGTGGTAACTTCTACAGCTTTTAAAAATATCTTGCTTCTTAGAGCTTCCGTCCTGAGGTAAGCTGGTATCATACTGATTTTCTGACCATGGCCTTTGGCAATGCAAAAGAAAAGCTTCTGTGTCTAAACAACCAAAGGAGAAGCTGTAGAGCCTGAAGTAATCACATGTGATGGCTACAGTTCTTTATTGCATTCTATTTTTTTCAGTATTGCATTGCAGTGCAGACCCAATTTCATACTGTCATCAAACCATTTTAGCTCAGGCTTTCAGTTAAAAATACCTGTCCTGCTCCCACCTCAGCAGTATCCAAGCGGAAGGGCTATAAGCCAGTTAATGGGTTGCTTATTATCATCTGGTAAGCGGTAATGAGAAAATTGTGATGTAATCACCTGACAAAGATGGTGCTACATTGAGCACAAACATACTAAACACACAAGTGATTGCTTTTACGTGTTCTTCTACAGGATGGTACTTTAACACCTACATTCCAGTTTGCTTCATTCTAATAGTTTTTGACCAAACTGTAATTATAAGTAATTCTGTATCAGTATCTTGAGGACTGAGGATAACACATTGAAGGATATTATTGGCTCTTGTCTCAAACCCAAATCCAAACACAAACATTTCTGAGACATTTCAGTTGATTGACTTATAAGCTAAGGATTGAGTGGCATAATCTCACCCTCTGCAGACATTTGAACTTGAGTGTCATCCATGTGGTCTTCTGTACATTGCCTAGGGAGTGTTTGGTTAGAAATAAAACAGCAAGTGACAGGCCTGAATGAATACCTCAGGGATTATAGGAGAGGGAGGGTTCTCAGACAGAAATTCACTTAGTTTTATTTGTACCCCCTCTGCCAGTTTTGGATTTAGAGGCAGACATAAGAAAATTTGATTTTAATTTATAATATTTACTTCATAAATAAATTCTTTATGTCGGACAATATAATGTGTGTGAAAAAATGGGATCTAATCAGCTTACTTCAACTTCAAGATTCAAGTAGATAAAAATATTAGTAGAAATTTCAACTGAAAGTGAGGCCGAAATTAAAACATTGGTGGACATAGAAGTTATGACTTGCAAACAACGTCATCTACAATAATTGCAGAGAATATTGTGCATGCTGAACCCCATGTGGTATAACTAATAATGTATTTTCTGCTACAAACAATGCAGTATTAGCTCATCAACATAATTTTATTTATTTATTTATTTATTTGGTATCAGGGATCGAACTCGGGACCTTGCACTTGTGAGGTAGGCACCTGAACCACTGAGCTAAAACCCCAGCCATCATCAACATAATTTATGTGATATCTTGGAGAGATTCTGATAAGAAAAACCTAAGACATAAAAAAGAGCACTGTAAGAAATTTGAACAGGCAAGGCTACACTCCCTAACCATGTGAGTCAGAATTTCTGGGGATAGAAGTGAATAATAAATCTGCTGGTGTGAAGGAAACTAAAACAAGTTTCATACAAGAGAATATTTAGAAGATGAGGAATCTCTATGAGAAAGAAAAACAATACAGAAATATTACATCTGTACAAGAAATGCTTCCTGTATCCCTTCTTGCAACAGTGAATTTAAACACTCAGTTTCTCTTTCATTCTTTCAGCCATTAGACCAGTTAACCATCTTATATAACCCGTGATTTAATTATAAACATCTGTTTTGAGACTAGTTAATCATTAATATGAACTTGGAAACAGCATGTAGAATGCCAAGGAATTATTCATTCTGGAGAAGAAGGAAATGTTCCTGAGTATCCAGTGAGGTGTTTTCTTCATGCTTATGCCAGGCTGCCTTTTTGTGCTCCGTACATACTGCTAATGTTCCAGTAAGGACGGGGTTTGGGCCAGATCTTCACTTCCTTAGCCTGAGAAGAAGCAGCATAGCTATTGCACTCATTTAAATTTGTGGTTATCATGATGAGTTTTCACTTTTCATTTACATTTCTTTTTCTTTCCATTGGCAGGTTGGTAGTGAGCACAGCCCTTGCTCTATCAAGGAAAGCATGGCTTTTGTTAAAAGTGAATCTACTGATAAATATTTAAGAGACTGAGGGGTTATATGTGACTATTACTGGGTAAGAAATTAAAAAGCAAGGAAACTTTCTAACTGATCAGTGAATTTAGCTTAAAAGTATTTACTAAATAATTAGATTCGTCTAATGACATCAACTTTACAATTGAAGCACTTGCCTTCAAGGTCTTCAGGAAATGCATCCACACTTTAATCTTCCTTCCTCCCATCCCTCTTCCTCTCCCCTTCCTTCCTTTCTTCCTTTCCTTCCTTACTTCCTCAATATTTATTGAATGCCAATTATGTTCCTGGCACTTTTCTGGGGGACTGGAGTTACATATAAAGCTGAAACATTTTTCTGCCTTCATAGACTTTCATCTATTAGGGGAAGATGGTCAACAGATTCCATGATAAGTAGGAAAGGAGGGGAGGAGATTTATTGCACTTTTATGAGATGGCCGTGATCCAACTCACTGACAAATATTTATCTGTTATTTAAGAAGAATCCTAACGGAAGTGAGGGAGGAAGACCTATACGCAGTATCTGAGCAAAAGAAGCATCTCCTAGAGGTTCATGCTTGTTGAAGAAAGAATGAAGGAGACCGAAGCAAGGAGGTGGAGGAGGAGGTGGGGGCCAGATTGGGCAGGGATTCCCCTCCTTTGTGACTCTTCTACCTTAGCTATTGCCTGGAGACAGCTGGGTCTTTTGCTTTGCTAGATCCCATGCCCTATTTGAGGCTCCTGAAGTTGGCGTGTTCTTCATAAAGGGATTCACTTTCATGCCAATATTCTCTGCTGTCAATTCTCTGACCTCTCAAGTATGAACCACGAAAGTCATCATCAGTCATTTTTCCTGTTTCCTGTGTTAGCAGCTTCATAGAGATTACAAGCGACTTGGGGGTCGATCTCACATTATACATCTTCTCTATCCCCTACAGGGCTTTATAGTGAGCTGAAGGTAATCAAATAAAATAAATACAGAAAATTATCTATTAAGAGAAAATAAAGAAACCTACAATTTAAAATGAGAAAATCAAGGAATTTTGAGTCTATAGATATGAAAAGACAAGCTTTACTTTGCAGATCTGTAGACACATTCTCTTCTGAATTTGTTTGACGATGATATCATTGCCCATCTTAATCTTGAGATTGCGTCTCTACATTTATTGGACTTTTCTTCTTTTCTGCAGAAAATGGAGGTCTCATGTATACAACTTTCTTTTTTCTTCTCAATACTTCTACCCAACCTCCACACTTTCTGCTTTCATTTTGATCTTTGTCTTTGAACTCTTATCTCCAAATCCCCAGAATACTTATACCTCACAGGGCTATCAGTAAAGCATAGATATTTTATAAATACATAAGACAGATGAACAAAAGAATTAACATCTACTAGCCCACTAGTTTGTTGGAACTAGTTCAAATATTTGCCTGGGATTCATGTAAGTTGTGTAATCAGGTCATGAATAAACAATGATATTAAAAATGTTTTCATAAAAATTAGTCATTTGTCCTGGGGTAAAGCCTTTATAATTTACATACTTGAGATAACTGTATGCATATTTTCATTGGTTCTTTAAGAAAGGCTCGCCCAACTAAGGTACAGAGTTCATGTGCTCCATGATGATTGAATGAAGAAAGAAAGAAAGCCCTGATACCTCTCCAACCCCTATTTTAGACTCAGTATAATGCTTGGGATTTCATAAGCCCTTCAGCGCTAAATTTCTAGCTAGAGAAGCCATTGAACCTAGTGTTAGAAGGAGCAAGATTGTTTTGCTTTCCATCCCTAAAGGAATTTTTCTTTCCCAAATTGGTCATAACTTCCTTCCTTTAAGCCATCCTTCTGAAATATGCTGCGGTTGTTGCCGTGATTTAGGAGTAGAGGTGGCAACAGGCTGGGAAATGTTCTTGTTCACATTCTTTTCTGATGTCCTTTCTTAAAATGATTTTTCCTTTATTTCTCTCTTGATTCTTGCCTGATTGTTGTATTTTACAAGTACTTCTTCCTTTGGGTCAAATTACGAGTTTGGGAATCTCTTTGTACTTGTATTTACTAATTTGTTTTAATATTAAGCAGAAAGATTTATACTCTCAAGTTTGTATCTTCTATATTGTTAATACATTACTCAATTGATTGGATATCATTGCCGGCCTACCTTAATAGTCTGTCCAAAATACATTTCATACAAACAAAAACAACAGTCACAACAGCAATAACAACAACAAAAATTCCTAGAATAATTTATATTCATTATAGCATGCATATACTAAATAATAATGTTGAACATTTTTTAGGTTAGGTTAAGAGCAGGCATCTAATACTTCTGATCTTGTCAATGTTTCACAATTCAGTATTTCAGTTCAAGCAAATAGTTTATTTCTCTTTCTTCTTTTTATTTGCCTAGTTTTTAAGTGACTGCTCATATTTCTGATTGTTGAAAAATTTCTTCCAATCAATAATTATTCTCTTTAGCAACATTTAGCTTTAACTTCTTATTATTGAAAACAAACAAGAACTCTAAGAATTTATATATCATACATAAAGTAAACCTACTGGAATGTTTGTTTGGTAAGAGATCTTTGACCTCTAGACAGATTTTGTGTGTGACTCTGAGTTTCAACATTTCTTTATCGAAACTTGTTTGGTATGACCAACTTGGCCATTTGGAGGCCTGGAAGATTTTTAATAACTTTGGAGATTTCCAACTATTGCTTTTGTTAGACTAGGCCCCTTCCCTTCCTTTCCCTTCCTTTCCCTTCCCTTCCCTTCCCTTCTTCCTCTCCTTTCCTTTCTTTTTTCTTTTTGTCTTTTCTTTTCTTTCTCGATAGACCTAGTCTGGCAACCATAGTTCCTTACCTGTGGTGCTGAGACCAAAGATCTGCTCACAGCCATTTTCAACATGTAAAATACATTTTTAATGTAGGCCCATTACCCTTTCCCCCCTTATTAAAGTTCTCAAAGAAATAACTTTGTTTTGTTTAAAACCATAATTTTCCAATCATGCCAAAATGCTACAGAATTTTTCAAAGAGTGAAAAATAAAACAAACTACTAGTGCATTTAGCTTTCAGGCCACCTGGCAATTTTTTTCTTCACATTTCACTCCTTTGGCCTAGTTCAGCTTGGTTTCTATCTACTCACTTATTACTCCCTGAATTTCTGCTGGAACACATGGGAAAAATCAGTTCTGTCTTGTTTTAATTGAAGCTCAGACACTTAATCCAGTTACCCGTGCTGTTAAGTTATTTTTCTATGAAGTGTCCTGTGAGGTGGTGAATCAGTTGACTATCTAGAAAAGAACAATTTTGTATAGGAAATTAAAACTGATTTTCACATTGGCCTATTAATACCACTTCCTTTGGTATTTTAACATATACTCCTTTGTACTTTGATAGCAAAGATAAACTTCTCTGGCAAGACATTACCCAGAGTGTGCTCTATGGAACCCTGGTCCTTTAAGATCCTCCATGAACATAATGTCCCACAGTCAAATATATTTGGGAAGTGGAATACTCAGTAGTGTGCAACTAGGAAATTCATTGTACCTATCTAGGTTATTTCAAAGAGTAGGCTACATTTTGCCAATATTGAACCATTTGGACTTCAAGAAATGCTTCTTGGGGAGAGAGGAACAAAATGACCTTCAAATGCTCTGGGGTTTGATTGAACTTAGCATTAACCTGCGGCCCAAGGTAAATGTTTATCAGTGTCCTTTCTGTGCTTTATTGGATACTTCTGGTGATCCCACATGCAGGGGCAGATCAAATTTTGTAAAGTCTGAAGTGTATAAATGTGTGGAGTCTGTGGTGGTGAATCCTGGCTGTCAACTTGACTGAATGGTGAGATGGTCCTCTTTTAAGAAACAGAATACAAAAATACCTTGCTCTGTAAACTTTGCCCAGGCATGTGGTAGTGTGAGGGCTGTGAGGGATGATCCCAGGGCTTGGGAGGACTGACATTAGCAAAGCCCTTTGAACCTCACTGATATTCACTGTGTGCACAACAATATTTTATTGTTTAGCATCACATAATGTTGTTTCAGCCTTATTCCTTCTGGTTCTTCCTCCCATCTGACATACATCCTACATTTTCCAAGCTGGTAGATTCAGGGAATAGGAATACAGGAGGTCCAATAAAATTTGAATTTCAGATAAACAACAAATAATTTTAGTATAAATAGGTCCCAAATATTGCACAAGACCTACTTGTACTGAAAATATTATCCATTATTTATCTATATTGGAAGTTAACTCATGTCCTGTAAATTAGCTGGCAACCTCAGTGTTTTAGCCAAATTTTCTACATTACCAGTTGTCTAACAATGATGTGTTCTGTCCTACTCCACACCTTGGTTCCATGTGTCCTAAGTTTTCTGTATGAGCATACCCCTTTGGGTGACTTGCTGTAAATGGAGGTTCTATGGGTCCAGCCCAGAGTGTAGCAAGCCTTCCAATGAGTCCCATCTGTAGGAGGACTTGGCCAGCACAGCCTTAATGAGGGGGCCTTGTTTCTGGAGCCAGGATGCTGCTGCACACTGAGCTTATGCGGTCTTTCAGCCCTGTTGATGAGGAGCTGACCTGGTCCTCACCTCCTCTTCTGGGTAGATTTAATCCAGTTACTCTCAGAACACCACTGCTCTTCACATAGTGAAATATGACTCCCCAGGGCAGTCCCACTAGCACCACCCAAGAGTTTGTTGGAAATGCAAGTTTTCAAGTCTCATCTCAGACCTAATGAATCAGAAGCTCTGGAGGGGCCCATGCAGTCTGTGACCTGTGACCAGATGAGCCTCCCAGGTGGTCTGATGCCAGCTTCACCCTGAGAATCATGGCCTGCTGGTGACACCCATTTCTTTCCTTTCGTTACAGCCGTGTACAGTGATTGTACTTACTAGTCTAGTTCTGAATCCCTTGGTGGGTAGCGGCTGCCCTGGAGTTTGCTGTACTCCTTCTCAAGTGTGGCATGTAGAGGATGTTTAAGATGCTTGTGGAATGAAAGACTTGGTGAGCCAATGAATTAACAGAGAATTACATATTTTTGCAATAAGTTATCCGGTGAAAGCCATGACTCACGGGTACATGGCATGACAGTGCCTCCAAGATCCAACTGTTCTTATGGCTTTTAATCTGCCATCTGGACCCTCTTTCCTCATGTATTGTAGCTGTTCTTTGAGGGCTGAAAGAGCATACGAATTACATTTAAGTGTGAATGTTAGTGTATATATATGAATGTGAAATATTTGACAGGAAAATTATTCCATAGGAAAAGGTTTGGATTAAATAGGGTCAGATAGTTCATCTTTTGAATTCTATCGCTGCTTTAGGTGTAGGATACATTGTGAAACTACATTTTACATACATATCGAACATAAACCAATGCTGATGGTTAAATATGCTAATATCATACATAAGTATGGAATAAAGATATGAGACTTACACAAAACTCTGAAAAGGTGACTGAAAATCAGATCTCTAATTGTGGGAAGAACAGTGATCTTGTTTACACATGTGTGTTACCTGAATTGCTAAATTCCCTGAAATGCAAACAAATTTTGTTAATCAAAATATTTAGATCTGTAGATTGATTGAGATCTTATTGTAGATTCTCTAGCTATAACATATACATACAGATAAGTACCATATGTAGTTCTCTGACCACCCAGCAATCTTTCAAAAGGTCAGATGTACCTTCATTTTTCTAATATTTTTCTTCTTTCTTCTTTGAATTGAATTTCTTCTTTAATCTTTTATTTACTGTATTTAAATGATATCAATAAAGTGAACCATTTTTCCCAAGCTAAATATGCAGAGAAACAAATCAATCATTCTATGAAGACAGAGTGATTTCCTGATATTTTGTGGCAATACTGTAACTCTGTAAATAAAAATGCGTGGCTTTGTATGTCAAAACCACAGACATATAATTATTAAAATACACATCTGAGTATTCTAAGTAGTTCATGTGAGGTGTGAACAATTGGTTACTGTAATACTCTACTAAGACCATGGATTTAAATACTTATTTGTAAGGTACTGTACACTAATTTAATTTATTACATATATTAGTTTGAAAATTTCATGGTAGAAGAACTCAAAAGGTCTTGGGTGTCCAGATTATATTATGAGTAGAGGTTTTTGTGCCACAGAATTCCTTTTATTCATTTCTTCCTTCTTAAAATCTACAATTGCACAACTTCTTCTGGTGGCGATAACACTGTCCTAATTACATTCTTGGTTCAGGTCTTTGATGTTCCATCCATCCAATGCTTGTAAAATTGAAGATTGATATTTCTAAATCTTGAGTCTCATAATAATAATTTAAAAAATAATTGAGCCCACCAAATGAAATACAAATTCTTAGCCCACATTTATGGACTCCTACACTGAGCTTCCTGGCTGTGCAAATTCAGCTTTTCTACTGGTAACATACACTCAAGCTCAGTTCATTGACTCAGGAACACATTGAGTGCTTTTGCTCTCTTAGGGCTTTGCTTGGGCTGTCACCACTGTGGGACCCTCAGGCTGAAAGTCTTAACCCACCTTAGACGCATCTGTGAATGCAAAGAACTCCCACCATGTTTGACTCTACTAGAAATAACTTCTCTGTCATTGGGGATCCCCTTTGGTGCTCTATAAGCTCTGCATTGTATTCTAATTATAGATGCCATAGATGCTATTGTTTTGGGATTCTTTTAAATCTTCACTCACTGTAAGGGTTTTATTAGTAGTTATTGGGTTACATTTGTTGGCTTGGTGATCTAAGCCACTAATTCTCAAATTCATCTGCATCTTGGAATCACCAGGGGACCTTGCAAGAATACTGAGACTAACTCCCTCTGCCAGAGCCACTGATTTAGTTGGCCTTATATGCACTCTGGGGATTGAGAGGTCAAAAATCTCTCTAAATCATTCTGATATCAGCAGATTTGGAGAACCACCAGCTGTATTAATCCTGAGATTATCTAAAGTGTTTCTTGGAGTCTGTTTGTTGCCACAGCCTTCTATAGTTTCTTGGTTGATGCTTTTGTTTATCTTACCTCTGAACAGATGGGTTCTTGGACCATATCCCTGACAGGGCCTCCCCCGACCAACCCCCACATTATCTAGAACTCAAAGCAACATCACCAAGAAAGGCTTATTTCAGATCAAAAGGTTCAAATGTATTCCTCCAAACTTCATTCTAATCCTGACTGCTAGTTTGGGGGAGCACCAATTATCATAACTAAGACTCTATAAAAAGGAAAAGGGAAGTATATAAATGAGTTAACTCTGACCTTAAAAACTATATACATATATTACACCTTACTATGATTTTCAAAGAAGAACGAATGAATCATAAACAAATTATTTAAAAAATATTTTCAGCATTTTAATTAATGCATTGTCTTAAAATTTGCATTTGGAAAAGGACTTGTGGGGAGAAATCTATGCAGTTATTTCTCATCACGTAAGCTTTGCATTTGGACTGGTCTGTAAGGCAACTTTCATCCTGATTTGTGATAAAAGAGAATGCATCATCCCACAGGAACATAGGACTTATTTACAACCAATTCCTTCTGGAAACAATCTCCAGGGCAGGGAGGATGATGTCTAGCATATTAGGCAGGCATACTCTGAATTGCTAGTGAAATAACATTACCAGAGGTGATTAGTCTGGGTGTAACACTGGAGCTGAGCTCCTGGAGGGTTGGGATCCTGCAGATCCATGTCAGTCTCTCCTCTTGCACCTTGAGGTTGTCAGTGTGCTTGAGGTGATCAGATAGCTGTGACATCTGTGACAGAACACAGATGGGCTCCACAATCAGAAGAATCAAACACACGCGATAAATGGGCTCTTCTAATCAGATCTATACTCTAAGCAACAGAGGATACAGATTTACGTGATGCTGCTGAAGTTCTGAATCCTTGATTTTAATGATACAGAAATGGAGCTATTTCCTCACGATTCACCTCTCCTCAGAAGCTGTTATGACCTGTAATCCTTCACAGTGTCATTCACAATGGATTCTCGTTTCCACTCCCACCTGCTGTTCCTCCCCTTGGGCTCCTGCTGTCTCAGGAGCTGCAGCCTTCCTCCTGGACCACCTGCTCGTTCTCAGATGTTCCATTTCCCCAGATGCAGCAGCCAGCTCACTGAAGCTTCCTAGGGGATCCATTCATGACTCCTTCCTCCTTTTCCTTGAGCACCCACCTCAGGCAGAAATTTCTTCAACAGATGATATGTGCTTCAGAGTCAGGAGTTCTGACTGTAGTGTTTTTCAGAGTTTAGCACAGAGACCAAATGAGGTGCCCCTAAGTATTTGCTAAGTAAATGAACATCATCCGAGACAATTGAGGAGAACTTCAGAAATCATCCTAAGCAAATCAGTCTTGAAATACTAGAGCCTTTTAGAGTGTTATATATGTCAAGATTTTTCTGACTCCTTCCAACATGTTTAAAATAAACAAAGAAGTGCCAAACTAAATGAACAAACAGAAACCAAAGAACCGCCCCCCCCATTTTTGCTCAGATGTTTATAGTCTCCTTTTTGAAAGTTTGCATTAGTTTTTAAGATGTTCTTGCCTATATCTTTTTTAAAAAATCACCTGGTCCTTACACATTTTTTTTTGTGTCAATTCATATTCTTTTTTTTGGTACCGAGGATTGAACTTGGGAGTTTGTGCTTTGCGAGGCACACAGCAGAACCGCTGAGCTAAATCCCGGGCCCAATTCATATTCTCTTTTGGTTAACTATAAAGTGTGTCCTAGGCTGTAGCATTTCATCTTATCAGAAAGGACAATGAATTGCAAGAGGCTTACATGAATTCATTTGAACCATTGGTAAGGTGGTTTAGATGTCATGTTGATCAAATTATGGGGGTTATTTCAGTAAATTATTAATTGCTTTCAGTTTGAAATTAATATGATTAATGGGGGTATTTCAGTAATATTTTACTGATTTACATGTTCCAGAGACATTTACAAATTTAAGGAATCATTAAAAATACCTCTTAGGGATGAAAATACACTTTTGTATTTATTTCAAAATAATGTCCTACCTTAACCATGCAGAGATAATTGAGAAGTGTTATCTTAGTATTATTTTTAATGCACATATCTCTAATTTTTGAAAGATAAAATATAATTTTTAGGACCTGCAAATCAATAAAGGATTAAAAATATACAGACTATATATGTCACATTGTGATATGTGAGATGTCATATTTAGGAAGTTTAATTCTCATCCTAGAGCAATCTTTCCGCAGAAGTTAGGAAGCCCAGAGCTCTCACTGAGGTCAGATGCGTGAGTCATGTTAGTGTGCTCTGTGCGGCATTTGCTACTAATAACAGGAAATGAAGGAGCAACAGCAAACCTCAGAACAACCTGCTCTCCTCGTGCCTGAGGTTGGGACCAAGAAAGAACTGGTAATGGCAATGTCCCTCAGCAACCACAGAGTGAAATAGCTGCATAATTTATCACTGTTTTTAATACACTAGGTGTTCCTTATTAAGTCTAATGGAACTAGGTTTTTGTTGTTGCTGTTATAAAAGGTCCAGGGAGCCAGAAATGCTATAAGTAATTTTATGTACTGGCTCTATAGTAAATAGGAGAACATTTTCCCAAGTAGCTAAGAGTCTGTTGTTACTTTTCTTCAGAGTTTTACTTGTAGACTTTGGATCATAGGTTTCCTAAGCAAAGCAATCCTGAGGAATTCTGCTAAAATATTATTTCATTGTATCCAAAGTATGGAAATAATAATAGATAAGGAAATATTTGGAACACAACTTCCCTTGAATGTATATGAGATTCATTTAATTACTAAATGTATATTTACAGGCACTAATCTACAAGGAGTCATTTATTTATTCATTCATGTTACAGTTATAAATACCTGTCATATTTTCTTTTTACTTATGAGGAAGAGATAAATTTTGATAATGGACCAAATTTGGGCAATTTGGAAACTTTGGAATGACTTTTTATTTTTTGCTGCTCATTAAGATCTAAATTATGAGAAAAGGAAAAAATGGAAAGAAAGTCTTTGTAAATAGGGAAGGGTGGAGGGGTGAAGGGAGGACATGGAATGGGGAAAAAATAAGAACCAAGATACATCATGTACAGGTACAAGCACCCAATGATAAATGTAAATGTATTGTATACCTAAAATGTACCAATAAAAGAATTTAAGTAAAAAAGTAAGAGTTTTATGGATAAACATCTAAAGTATTAGCAGAATATGAAATATATAATAAAATATGTATATAATATAAAAAAAGATCTAAAATGGGTATCCAAATAGTTCCTTATTTTAGAGAGGATATTTTCAGATCAAAATAGAATTTAAGTAAATTTTTGATATAGACATTTTTGTTAAAAATTCTTTTTTAAACTTTCCACAACCCAGTAGCTTTGGTTTTAGAGCCCAAAGTGCAAAATTATAGAACAGAGAGTTTTAAATGGTTTATGAGCTTATTTTTACTCTCTTGGGAGTGATAAATGAAGCTGTGTTCATGAATAGTATGCAGTAAGAATTTGTATGCAATAGAGAATTTAAAAAATAATGTAATGTTCTTATGGGAAAGCCTTCTGGAAATGGTGGTCTGCCGTGAGGTTTAGCTTGTTGGGACATGGAAGTCTCATAATTTTGTCTTTGTTATCATTCTTCTTAATTTCCTTGTAGAAATTAGCATTTTGTTTAGCCAGTATCAAGAACAAACAAGTTTTTGTTTTAAGAAAGAAAAGGAAATAAAAATGCTCAACTTCTATTCTCCTGCCCATGATTTTTCTGTGGGCAGAAGATTTCCTTCCACTAGTTTCTTCTCACTGACTTCAAGTGACCTGTATTTCAGACCATGGTTTAGCTGAAAATAGTAGCAACGGCTTCCATTGGAGAAGAAAACTTAAGATGCCAAATAATGGTAACTTTGTCTCTTTCTGTTGGGCTGAGAAAATTAAACAAATTGATTTTTTTCTTTTCACTGATAAAATGTGCACCGTTGGGTGAAAGGGCATCAGGAGAGGTGATAAATAATACTGCTTTATGGATGTAATATATTGCCATTTAAAGATTGGATTCCATTTTGTCTTTAAATATCCTTTGAGGTAGCTTGGAGAGATCTCTGCCCTTTTCAAGCGGTGACAGATTTCCTATTACGAGCAAAAAGTCTATTGCTGAAAAATATGAATAATTAACAGGAAAGTATATTAAAGTTGTTGCTTAAACTCTTCTGAAACTTCAGAATATTTGCACTGGTGAGCTTAAGGTCTAATTTACCAGCATCTAGCACTTTTATATTTGGGAAGAAAAGCTGCTACAGTTTCCTGATTCTACATCAAAATAGATATTACATACTGTAGTGGGAGAGGTAAGGCTATGACAGTCTGCTCCCCCCACCCCCCTGCAGTTCTTTCAATATAGCTACCAGTGATCTGTGACCCTACTGAATGTAATGATGGAAATGATTTCAGTTTCCAGGGGGAGAGCCTATAGACCATCTTACATTCAGATAATTTAAATGCCCCTACAACATACTTCTAACTAAGAACCTAAATTAAATCTACTCCAGGCTGGAATGTGACAATTTGTGAAAAAAACTTCACTTATTTTTTATCTGTGACAGTCTCTCCCAGCTATTCTCAGGAAATTCTTCCATAACATCTCCCAAAGCATTAAAATTCATATTTCTCCATGGGGTTAACAGAGCCCTGTGGATAAGGGGTTGCTCCAATAACTGTATGCAGAGCAGAAAGAAGCCATCCTGGGCTATGTCATGAGCTGACAAGAAATTAGAACACAGTTACAAGTGACTTGCAAAAACCCAGTTAAATAAAAACACACAACTTGAAGCAGGCATCACCCATAACCTGTATGGCTCCTGCACTTTACTTCTGATTTTTAAGACTTCATAATTAGTGTGACCCATAAGAACTTTCTTAGGGAAAATTCAACTGGGAAAAATAGTATGCACTGGCTTTCTTTAATTTATAAAAGTGAAAAATTAGTAATGATTTTATTTATAAATACTTTATTGTATTAAAAATATCTATCTATACAGGTTCTCAGTATAGTCTAAGCCTGTTTTATTTTGACAGAATCTTTAGAAGTGTGGAGAGAGATGTGATCTGTAAGCCAACAATCTCCCCTGTCAATACACATCAGATCCCAAATATTGCTCTCCTTCAGTTGTTTTCCATTTCACAAGAAAAGCAAGTGACTTCTCCATCAGCCACAGAGAGGTCCTCATTGAGTGTAGAGAAGACGGATCAAAACAATTATTCTCAGAAACTCCCCAAATTCAAGAAATTCTGGCAGTCACAGTCCATAATAATTTCCTGAGTGTTTCTCTGAGCCCCCTTTCAAAGAGTGTCCTTAGCATCTCATTTCCATTCACAAAAGGGTCCAAGGGTTTGATTCAAGCATAGGAATTCAGGAGCACTTTCCCTGCACAGGTCAGGGTTTGAGTGTGAGAACACAATCTTCAAGTGGGATAGTTTTTCATATAATCCAGCTGTTTAGCATTTAACAATCTATAGTTGAGAGATACCACCCAATTCTCTGTGCTGTATCCTAACCTACACAATACCAAGAGTTATCTTAATTGTCCTATCAGACTTCATGGTTTCTGAGATGTGGACTCAGCTCTCAATATTCTTACAATATCAGTCTAGATATCATCTAACTCAACTCCACAACACTTCAGATGCAGAGCATTACCTCTTGTTATCCTTGCTAAAACATGAAGGTGGTTCAACCTTAGTCCTTTAGGAATCAAAATAAGTCACTGCTGCTACACTGCTACACAGTGTCTCCCATGCTAGATCTCAGGCACAGAGGCTTTGCTGCTTTCATTTGGGTCAATGTATTATTGCATTCCTTTGGAAGGCAAAGCAGTAAAAAAACTAGCGTATCCCCCCCACCCCCAACAATAGATCTGCCAATCATTGCTTAAAAGCATTGGCATAAAAGACTGAAGCACAGGGATGGTGTTGAGTTTTGTTTTCAGGTTCAGGATGGAGAGATTTCAAGGAAAAACCAATTCAGTCATCAGTATGTTTTGAGTCAGTCAACATGTTTCATAAACTTTAGGGGAAGGGAAAATGGGAGGGGTAGGGGAAAAGAAAGAAGGGAATGGAATTAATATGAGAAAAAGAAAAAATGGAAACAAAGTCTTGTAGATAGGGAGGGGTAGAAGGGTTGAAGGGAGGGCAGGGGAAGGGGGAAAAAATAAGAACCAAGATGGATTATGTAAAGGTGGAAATTTCCAATGATGAATGTCATTATATTGTATACCTTAAATGTATCAATATAATTAACAAAAAAAGACTTGTTTTAAAGTCAATGAAAATGCTAAATCTCTTTTGAAATCAATGGAAGGTTTCAGGTTCACATTTGCAAGGATTATCAGTACTATACGCAAACACTAACAAAATAGAATCAGCAGAGAGATTCCTCAGCTAGGATGCTGAGCAAATCATTTACTTCTCTAATAGGACATAAATATCTACATTCCAGTCTCAAATATCCACTGGTTCACTGAGACATTAGCAAATGCAAGATACGGAAGTATGTCTAATGACTGACTAATGAGAAATCTGCTAGACCCTTCCCCTGGAAGCTGAAGTTGATCCCTGCAGTTTTCCAGAGGACATTCTAGAATAGTGGCTGCTGTTGACAAGGGAAGGCAATTTTCAAATTATTTCTCTTACAATAGAACTTTCTGTGGACTTTAGGGCATGGAGACCAAAAGCCACAAGGCATTTATGATAGGTGATGTGAACATTTTAATAAAAGTTGTAATAACCCTGAAAAATCGTGTTTTTAATAATCTATGTACTATTAGTAACAATCCATGCATAGTGCCATGCATTTATAAATATTTGGTCATAAAAATATGTGACTGTAATTATGAAATTTATAGTCAACTTATAAAAATACGTGTAGTACTGAATGGTAATAGTTAACCTCTAGCGTTGCCCACAAGTTTAGAAGGAGTAGCTGATTCTGGGAAAGTGAAAGTGTATGGGTAATTACAAATGGACAAAGCTCTCATATTTGAGTCCAACAGACAAGGATGGCTATGACCGCATCAGAGGGGCTTCACAGATTGTAATTCTTCCTTTTCTATCCCAAGTTAAAACCTATGAATGGATGTATTTCTGTGGAAATAAATAGGAATGAATGGGAGAGAGGAGCTCACATAACAGATGAGAAGAATTTCACCACCGAATATTCATATATGGCCTTCCAAGTGGCTCAGGGTCACTGTGAGAATTCTCATCCAATGGTGCCCTTCATTAAAAGGAGTTCAGCATGGTGTAAGTCAGTCTATGATTGCCTTTAACCATTGAAGTTAGAAATCTACCTGACAGCCAAATCTCTTTCTGTAATTTAGATGTGTGCCTCTTTGAAACTTTAAGAATGTCATGAACCTGGACAGTTGAGGTTATATTGTACATCCTATTCCCAGTTTAAATTCTGATGGGGGAGGGGACACAAATTCACACTCCAGTTCAAATACCAAAAAGGTGTGATTTTTTTGCAAACTTTAAAAATTTCTCTCTTTAAGGGAAAAACACTTTCAATTAAAATATTCCACAACGCTGAGATATTTCCCACAGATTTCTTCTCTTTTGGGTTTGATTAGTGATCTGTTGATAGTGGACATGTTCCTAATTTGAACACCATCAGTAGTTCACAAGTGGAAAAAAAACAATAAGAGGAATCTTGAAAAACTAGAGGGAGGTACACACAAGCTAGCAAACAATGCTGAGGTTGGGGGCCACCTGAAAACCATGATCTCATATTTTAGGGTTCATATTGGCACTCAGCAGATGGGATTCTTGGAAATATCTGTTTCATAATGAAACTGGGAAGTTAGATAATGCTCATTTAGATTCTTCGGGGCTTCAATTACTTCCTAGGACTTAGTTAAGGCATTTGGGGTGGTGTATTAACTCTTCCAGAACAAAGAGTTCCATTTCAGTAAGTTATTGCTACAGATCACTAAAGAGTACCATGATGTTCTGGAAAAGATAATGTCCCTTCCAAACTGCCACCTCTCTAGTCAGTTGAACAGTGAGAAAATCTTATTTATCTTAGATACTTTGATCCTTGAAGACACCTAAAAAGAAGACTTTTGCCATCCAAACAGAGACAGTCTGGACACAAACATGATCATAGAGCTGCCCTGCAGGTTTGGCAGGATACACCACTGTCCCATCTGCATTTGGTGGTGAGTTTCTCATAAATCATCCTGCCAACTTCTTCGCGTCTGGAATGGTTTATGGTAATCAAGAAAAAAAACCCATCAAAACTGACAGACTTAAAAACAGATGAGTGTATGGGATGTGCACACCATGGAAAGAAATGCAGAACTTTGAAGCTTAGTACCTTCCATCTATTGAAAGAGGTACCCAAAATATTCACAAATGATAGGTAGTCTGTGAAAGAGGACCACCTCCCAACTCTAAAACCCAAAACCCCAATTCAGAAACTTCCACCTCAAATGCAAGATCATGACCTGGAGGTCCACTGGTCCATCCTAGCAGAGCAGTTCATGAGGTAAAGGCTAGGCTTCTCTGGACACAAACTTCACAAACACAGTGAGAACAATAGATCTATGGCTATGGGTAATTCTTTTCCAACCTCACATCTACTGATATTGTGCCCAGGGTACTGAATACATGGATCATTTCTACTAGAAACTCAATAACTTTAAGGTAGGACAAAACAAACTTCATTCAATAAATAAATGTTTTACTCAAAGGTTTTTCAGAATACATATTTAGAATATGTTCCCTCTTCCTTTCATGTTCTTACAAACTCTTTGTTGTTAAAAGTACATTGAAAACATTTGTTAAGCCTATCTACTCCACCTCCAAAGATTGTAATAAGGACAGAAAGGTTTTATATCTCCTTTTAGAACCTGAGTCCATGAGTTTTGTTTTAGGTAATTCAATTAAAATGTATAATCAAAATTGGTGGGGAAAAGCAGCTTTCTTCAGGTAAAAGAGCTTAATAAGCAGATTTTATAATCACTGGACATTTGTTCTGTCCTACCTGGAAATAAAGGCATGGGAAAAGGCATTTCCCAGTGTTTTTCTTCAACAATAAGCATAGCATTAATCCAAACAAGCACCCAGCAGACTGAATCTGTCTGCAAGGTTTAAATGTTTAACCCAAAGGAAACATTTACCTCAGTACCCTTTTTAAAAGAAAGAATTCAGCAGCAGTTACAGTTATCATGCCATCTGTAGAGAGCTGTGATCACCTAGGGTTTACTTCCTAAGTGACAAGTACAATGATGTTGCAAGAAGCTACAAAGTGATACTGCAGCAGTTACGGTGACACTATAGTGATCATGGCCTGGGTACATGTTCCTAATATCAGTGCAAGCACACTAGACTTAATGATATTAGTACACTTTCCTTATACTAGGAGCCACTGATGGTGCGCCATGAGTGGCGATGGTCCACTTTGCTCTATGGCAAGAGTCCCAGCTATGTTTCTTTTCTTCTGTGTCAATTATATTCCATAGCAGTACATTTTCACCAGCTAAAATAAGAAAGCTGTAATTATGGAATATCCCAACTCTCTCTCTCACACACAAACACACGCACACTGTGTACCCTTACAGACAATGTGTGTAAAGTGCTCATTTGCAGGTGCGTGAGCTCTCTACAAGTAGCCACATCAGCCCCTCCAAATACAGAGAATGATTAAAAGTCAATGGAAAGCCCTATCAACTATGTAGCTTTAAGAGGAGACTTTAAACATCACCTGTATGGTAAGTACTTCAAATGCAAAGGCATCCCAAGCTAGAATTCTAATGACGGGCAATGTGATATGTGAAATCCAATATGGCATCTCCATGTGCCTCGCTCATCACACAGCTGAGTGCCACCTTGCTGCTGCTGAGACTCGGGGGTTAGTTGTGCATGGCAGTCGATGAATGTGTGTATTTGGCTAAAGTTGATTGGACGCTCTTGGTCTAGGCCAGCCTGTCTGCAAATGGGCACCTTCCTGCATACAAACATCAATGAACATGAGAGTCTGAGCATATGTATATATGGTATATATACATATATATGTACGCATACAATGGATTGGGAAGTGCTTTGGTTTAGACGGGATTAAATATGTACTTCCCAACTGCATAGGTTTCTTTTGACCAACCCGTTCAAAAAGCAAACACGGAATGTGACATGGCAATTTGGACATTTCCTAAGTCACTTTCCCTATTTGGAGAGCACTTTTACTGTCTTCTCCATCTTTTCTAAGCTTCTCTTTTTAAAAGCAGTTGATTCTTTTGCCATTCCTTGGAAGAGCTCTAAGATCACATCCAGAGATTTATCTTTCATGGAGAACAAGGTTGTAAAGGACATTCCCCCATTTGATTCTCTCTTCCCCCTGTGAGGCAGACACTGCATGTCACGGGGGTGCTCTTGTCTGACTTGCCTTGTTACCCCTGGCCAGCCCAAGCCGCCGAGGTCTGAGCTCCTCCTCCTGCTTTGTGTGCAATACTGGAAAATAAAAATAATCCGCTGGACTCTGCCCTCAGACTGTGGTGACATGATCGGGGTTCTCTTGAATTTCTATGCATTCAATTTCTTCTCTCTCCTTTCGTTTGGCACGTTTCTTTTTCTTGTGGTGCTTTTTGGAAGGAGGGAAAAAGGTTAGGAACACAGGTAAAATAACAAAACAGTGCAGAGATGTGCAACCCCCAGTAAGCAGCAAGCATTTGAACAGTGTGAAGGTCAGGTTTGAAGGCACAAAGAGGAGGGGGAACAACCCAATAAGAAAAGAAGTGATATTCTGCAAAATGGCTGTTCCATGCTCTTGCAGTGAGCTTTTTATACATTGTGTTCGCGTGGGCTCAGTGGCTAACACAAACGTGTAAAGCAAGGGTGCACAGTGGTCAATGGCGAAGTTTAAAGTGTAGATAAGGCACAAGATAGAAATCCAATCCATGTCGACATTCCATAGTGTCATTAAACCCAGAACACCCAGTTCAACTGAGGTGACGCTAAGAATGAGCCAGAAGTTCCCCAAGGGGTGGATCACTAGGAAAAACGTCAGGATTAACACCAGCAGCACACCGAAGCCTGCAATCAGCACAGGCACGGTAACAGACAGGCTGTAGTGGTCCATGAACACAAAGGAGGGGTTGAACACAATGAACCGGATGCTCTTTGAAAGTGACAGGGGCCTCAGCTTTTCCAGCACTTCTATGCGTTCCTTCTGCTTGTCTCTGCTGGTCCTGGCCACCAGGTACATGCGGGAAACAATGATACTGTTTTCATCCCCTGCCTTGGAGAAGATGATATCGTTTCGAAAGTGCTGGAACTCTGGCTTTTTTAAAAATGAGCTTTGCAGGACACTGATGAAGTCACTCTTGTTGCTGGCGCTGATGTTACTGGCTTTCAGGAACTGGTAATACTGGTCGACCCAGGACACTGTGGTGAAGCCGCTGCAGAGCTTCTGGAGGTCCTCCTGGACACTGCTGTTCCAGTACTCAAGGGGCTCATAGATGTAGAACCCGATCACAGGGCTGTAGTTGCTGAAGTATTTCTGCTGAACCATGGCATAGGAAACACTCGGAGAATCACTGGCCAGAAGGTTGATGATGTTGACTCCATCACTGATCTGCAAACACCCCATGAAGGAGAAGGAGGCATAAATGAGATAGAGGATGACGACAAATGGCTTCACGTAGATGTTAGTGATCCACTCATTGTAGTGCTCCCGGAGGAAGTGCTGGATGAAGTGGTGCTGGTAGGGGTTTGTCTCATGGTGGGACATCTGCTGGTGTCCGTCACTCATCACCATCTGGAACCACATGGGCTTGCGGTCCAGGTACTCTGCAGAGGGGATCTTGCAGCAGAAGATGCTGTGATAGCGGTTTTGTTCTAGTTGGCCAGCGAAGACCAGGCAGGAGCCAAAAAAGGAGAAAATGTAGAAGTAGTTCAACAGGATAGAGATGCACATGTTCTGGCAGAAGACTTTCACAGCCTCTATGTTTGTGAAAGGGCTGGCACCCATTCCAAAAGTGATGAAGTACAGGGAGCTGGTCATAGTGTAGGTAACCATCACATCAGAGTAGGCATCTGCGACCCTATCTTTAAAGGACAAATTCTCTTTAGTTCTCCGCCATCCAGACAGAAGCTCAAACACACCTTTTGTCCCATGTCCTAATGTTAAAAAAAAGAAAAAAAAGAAGAGCTGTCATTATTTTCTACTATGGTTCAGGTGAATTCCTTACAGATTATCTAAGCTAGCAGCACATAGTCTGACCTTCAAAGTGCTAGGATCCTCTCACTGGCATCTCAAAATTTGGGTTACACACAGGATATATTTGGTCCCTGTTTCCACTTTAGCAAAGCCCACATTTATTGATATTCTGAGCAAAACGAAGCATTGGTTGTCTGTTCTATTAACCCAACAAGTTGTAGACACGATGTAACATTATCACATGCCTCCCCCCTGCACACACATCGTCTTCCTAGATGAATCACAAGTTCCAAGAGCAGGGCTGTTATGTGCACATCCTCAACGTCAGTTTCAGCACTCAGTCAACTGATTCATTGACTCATCCCCTCTAACCTTCATTTCAGGCTGATTTATGTGCTGATCTAGGAAATTATAAGATGATTTTAAACACTTCAAATGGATTTAAATTGATTTTGCAATGTTGATAACTTGCTTGGTGGCCAAATGGGTCATAAACCAATTCATACCCAACAGGTAAATTAATTAACAATTGATGCATGCCCCCCAAAGATCTTCCACGTCACACAAAAGACAAGGAAAGATCTTCCGGGTAAGAGGTCACAGCAAACAATTCCTCCAGGTTCCTAAAAGAGCTTTTATTTGAAAGGAGTTATGCTGACTGCCTTTACTACTCGATTTACACTGATGAAGAATGCTTCTTTTTAACCAACTTCTGTGCACATTCTGATATGGGTAAATAGGGAAAAGGTTTATTCAACAAATATTCCTTGTAAAGTAATTATGTGGCAGACTGTTAGCTTCTGAGCTATTATTTTTAGGAATCTGACAGCTCTTCAAATACCACCACTTCTTTATTGGCAAAAGAAACTGACTGGGAAAGCAAAGATGTTACAGCAGATCTATAATTTTCGCTTTTCTCCACTTTCCTGAATTGGTTCTGTCAATCACCATCCTCAATACATCAACTGGTAGCTTTCTGAGTGAGGAGAAATCTTGCAATCCTAAACATGAACCTTTTCTGTGAATGGCTACAAGATGTGGCTGGGCTGTTCTGTAAGGAAATCATTAGACAGTGATTCAGCTTAAAGGCACAAAATGATTCCGTTCACAAAAATCTGGAAAATAAACCATGTGTGGTGTCTAGATATTGGAGTTAGGTGTTATATACTCAATTCACTTGGTAGTGCTTAAATGAAAATATTATAATAGCTAGTTTTTTTTGTTTTTTTTTAGGTTCTTCTCATAGTTCTCCTGAACTTGTGCTACTTGGAGACTTTGCTAATTGCCTGACACAATTCCTTTCCTTCTTCCTTACTTTGAGATTGCAGTAAAAACTTTATTTCCCAGGCTGCTTTTCACCCAGGGATGTTTCACCTGACATATTTCTAGACAATGCAACATAACCAGAAGTCATCTAAGGATGCTTATTAGAAAACCAGAAAGCACTTTATCCTAAATGGTATCTTGGTGTCCCCAGTAAGAGTTTCAGCATTCCTTTCTTTGGAATTCTCCTTCAAGGAAACCAAATCTCCACTTGGCTAAACAGCTGAACCTATCTCTAAGAAACAATACTTTGTAGATGAGTTAACACTTACCCAAATCTCTTTTATGAGGATCTAAGGCATCTGGCTTTATAATTAATTTGATTGTAGGATTCATAAATTTAAATGTATGTGATTCTAATCTTTCATTTTAAAGACTCCTTGGCCAATCCTTTGAGAATTGTTATTATTAACTGTTAGTGAAAGGAATGTAGTCATTAGAGTTCATCTTACCTCAAATATAAAGCTTGTTTATTCTCCAGGGTTCTCTGCCTGGATTTCTAATAAGGAAAGACAAAGTTATCCCAACAAGTAGAAAGAATTGTAAAACTATGGTTGATTAAAGGCAAATATTTTCTATTCTTTTTTTGCGGCAATGATTTATTCCTTCTTGCATTAAATTATGAATTCAATATATGCAAATTGAAGTAAGTCTAATGATTCTTAACAAACAACACTAATTGCTCATTTCTATCTTTGGCAGGACTCCTTGACAAAACAGAATACTTTGTCTCTTATTCTCTTGATAAAAATAAAATATCAAGAAAATGGGAAGGTAGTTCTTTAATTAGGGCACCTCTCTTTGAAAACAGAGGCTCTTGTTATCTTTGTGCTCACCAGGGGGAAGGCTACATGTTGCTCTAAATTTGGCTTGCTTTTGCTAAAGGTCATTTTAGTGGGACCCTAGGGACACTGGCATATAGGCCAGATGTTTGCTTGATGCAGTACAAAGGTCTGTATGTCGGAGAAAACAAAGCTAAATGGTATTAAGGTTCAGTGTGATAGAGACTGGAGATATAATCTCCAAGCATGGCATGTTGTCTTATTTTTTCTAATATTGTTTTCTTCCTTATTTTTTCTTATTTCTGATTGTTTCACCCTTATTCTGAGAGTCCTACACTAATTTAAATACTGCACTCAAACCAAGCCACTGGTGTCTACCCAAAAAAGATGGTGGCACCACTTTAGATGAGTATACAAAGATCAAATATAAATGTCGCTCGCTCAAGTGCACAGTGACCAGTATTATGAATTTTACCTCCTGGCACTTCAGTCCTGACTGCTCTTTTCCCACCAAAACCTTATTCCTCATCCAAATCCATGGCTTATTTTAGGAAGAGCTCCATTCAAGATCCTGACTAGTTAAGAGATTAATAGAGGTCCTGAGTCGCAGAAGACATCGAATCAGCCCGTTGCAGACAGGCAGGTCTGCGCGTGCCCTACCGAGGTCCCGAGTCATGTGGAACACTCAGAATCAGCCCACAACCCAGGCAACAATCCACTGGACCCCCAGGCCTGCTCCTCTGTACAGCCACCTGGTTCCACACTGCAAAGATGCAGAGGACACTGGACCAACAGAACACAGTACTGAGTCCCACTGCTTCCGGCCCAGAGGTAGAGGCTCCTGAGCCGCCGTCCCACTGCTCCTGGTCCAGAGGAAGGGGCTTCCCAGCCACCATCCCTCCAGCTGCTCCCAGCCCAGAGGAAAGGGCTTTTGGGCCACCTTCTGTCCCAATGCTCCTGGCCCAGAGGAAGGGGCTTCTGGGCCACCATCCCTCCCACCGCTCCTGGCCCAGAGGTAGGGGCTGCTGAGCTGCCATCCCACTATTCCTGGACGAGAGGAAGGGGCTTCCTGACCACCATCCCTCCCGCTGCTCCCAGCCCACAGGAAGGGGCTTTTGGGTCACCATCCCTACCACTGCTCCTGGGCCCTGTCCCACCTCGCCCAGCTCAGAGGAGGTAATCCGTGCAAGAGCCAACAGCCCTCACCCCAGTTGAAATGAGAAAACACATAAATAAGTCTCAAAACCAGACTTCCAGATCACCTACAGCAACCCCAAAGGGAAATGAGAT